GAAGTCCTTCTGGTCTCCACTCCTGAATGCGCTCCTCCTCCAGGAACAAACGTCTGAGGAGGAGATGACCTTCAAATGAGGCCCTCTCTTCTTCAGACGTGTGTTCCCATCAAAGCGCACACACACACACACACACACACACACACACACACACACACACACACACACACACACACACACACACACACACACACAATCATCACCTGATATAATGAGAGGAAGATGAGAGCGTGTTTCCTCACCTCCTAGTTTGTTTGAACTCGATCATGCGTCAGCTTTTGTGTTATTTTATTATCTGGCGTTGACGGATTCATTTAAACTTTATTTACACTTGAGCCTCAAATGCAAACAACACTAATTCGCTCTGATAAAAACACGTCGCAGAGTGAAAAAGTGAGCTCACCTGTTTGTCAGAGAGGAGATCATCTCCTGGTCCAAAGTCAGAGAAACAAAAGCATCACTTCACAATCACTGATTTCATTTCATTGATCAATGTACTGAAATATTGGAATCGCAATCTGCTACTAATTTGCAATTTTACTTCTTTACTTTTACTTTTCTTTCCTTTTTGAGGAAGGAAGATATTTTCCCTAATCTATATTTCCTAAATATGAAGTGATCCAAGGATTATTCCTATTAAACCAGGAACGTAGTCCATATTTGCACTTTTGCGGTTCCTCTTCGTGAAGTCAAACAGACTCCAGATTGTTTCTCTGAATTTTTATAAAGAAAAAAAACACGGTGAGTTTAAAACAATCGAGGCCTCATTTGCTCCTCGACGTGCAGGAATGTTTCTGTCATAAGAACACGCCAAACAAATGTTAGGAATAAGAATAGAAATAAAACAAAAACAACTTTTCTCGTCTTTAATCAATTTCAGTGACTTACTTCAGACTTTTAACTCATGCAGAAGCACGTGTGTGTGTGTGTGTGTGTGTGCGTGTGTGTGCGTGTTGTCCGTACAAGCAGCGCTGCATAAACTTATCTCCCTTCTGCTGAGCTTATGGACCTGTGAACTGTAGAGCAACGCACACACAGACACACACAGACACACACACGCTTCTGTGCACACAGTCCAGTTCATATGCACCCACAAACAAAGAGAGATGCAGAGGTGAAAAGAGGAGTAAAAGCACTCGTATGCACGATGGAGACCATCTTCAGAAGCTGCAGCACAGACGATGACGACATCTTTCGGACCCC